TTCCCTCGCTGATAGTCGTCGCTGATACCTGGTTTTCTAGTAGTGATATCTTTCATTATGTTCTATAGTTCTATTACGTACATCTTAGTACTGAGCTATAAAATTTTTATGACACAGTTATCCATAGGGTAACGTGAGTCATCTGAACACAAATGCAAATACACATTAAACGAAGTTGTGTTTGTATTCAAGGTAATTTTTAATTAATTGTTTACTAACTGTAAAATAATTCTTGTGACATGATTGTCTTAGATACATACATGTCGATGATATCGAGGATGTGAGTTTGACCAACTTATCTCGAATAATTAAATACTTAAATGACTATTTTATTTAGGAGGGCTTGCTCACATGTATTATGTTAACACCTACTGACGTGGAACTACAGTGTCCATGGTGGAGGTTAGGTTGTCGTTATTTTTAGAGGGTTGCTCAGCAATAGGTCGGTGCATCGAGTTCATCAGCGCCACATTCATCTGATGATTTGACAGATTATATTGAACAACTGAATCGTAATATTAAGGAAACTATTGAACTTGTTCACAACAACGCCGTCGATCCAATGGTTGCTCATATGCACATTAAAAATCTACGAGAGCAGATTCAACGCTCAAATGATGCTATGAAGGTATATATTTTTATTTTTTAATTATATATTATTCAACATGATGAAATAATCAAGAGTTTCAACAACGTGGACAATCTCAACAATTTCAGCAGCTTGAAAATAACCTAGAGTTTCAGCAGCGTGGACACTCTCAAAACATTCCAGCCATGATCAATGTTTATTAAGTACTTTAAAAACATGAGAATTTCAGACAAATTAGATGTTGAATGATGTATTTTCTTTTTCTATACTCAAAGTATTGAATTGTTAAAACATTAAAATTGTGTTTCTTTTCAACAAATTAATTAAGTACATAACTTTTTCCGTGATAAAGTGATTCACTTGATTAATTTTCTTTCGCTATAGTTTTGAAGTGGTGACGCCCAAACTAAATCGAACTCGCTTAGTAAATGTCACTCAAAAGCATGGTTTGGAGGTGAGATGTATGTAGATCCGACTTCTACTCCAAAATAGTAGAGCGGTTGTTCTCGTAGGGTGCGTTTGGTGCGCAGACAGGACTGGACAGGACAGGACGGGACAGGACAGGATAGGACAGGACTGGACAGCTGTTCAGCGTTTGGTAAGACAGGACATGACAGGACAACCGGTTAAAATGACCAATTTACCCCCAGTGAGCTGTTTAGTGTTTTTTCACTACGAAATGCATTCTGGTAACACTGGTCCTACTACCACTACAGCCCTAATGAATACTTCAAAATCAATGTAAACTCTCGAAATAAATCATAATACTTCATTAAAATCCCTAATAAATACTTCAATTAATCAAGTTTCCCAGTACCATAACATTCTTGCATTCGAAAAGAACTACTTTCAAATATAAAACTTAGTGTAGCTCTCGTGGAGGATATGTATCTCACAGTCTCAAATTACACAACCCTAATCTTTCCCCAAACTAAGGAATCGGTAAGAACATGAGGCGCAAAAATAATTATCTAGAAAGGGGGGAAATGGATTGGAACCTGTAGGAACATGAGGCGCAAAAATAATTATCTAGAAAGGGGGGAAATGGATTGGAACCTGTAGGAACATGAGGCGCAGAAATCAATCTTCACTGTGTTGCCTAAGCCGATGCTCCGCCAAAACCACTCGCTTTCTGTGAAATATCGAGGGGAAATCGAGGGGTTGTTGGGGAAATCGAGGGGTTGTTGGGGCGGAATATGGTGGTGAGGGGCGGCGTCTTTGGCGGGTGCAGGAGCAGGAGCAGGAGCAGGAGCAGGAGCGAAGAGGTTGAAGATGTCTGAACAGGGCCGAGGGGTTGTTGGGGAAATCGAGGGGTTGTTGGGGCGGAATATGGTGGTGAGGGGCGGCGTCTTTGGCAGGTGCAGGAGCAGGAGCGAAGAGGTTGAAGAAAGCGATGGAAAGCTATGGAGGAAGCGATGGAGGATACGGGAAAAGGATGTGGGGAAGAAAGGAAGTGATGGAGGCCATGGGGGAAGGGGTAGTTTGGTAAAAAAGTCTGTGTTCCACTTTGTTCCAGGGGGTAAGAGAGAACTCGCGTGTCCCACTCTTGTTCTAGTTAGTTCTACTTAGTTCCATATTAAGCCACACCAAACGCAGGACAAATGTGTTCTGTTCTGTCCTGTCCCACCTTGTCCAGCGCACCAAACACACCCGTAAAGACTTCCAGCTTGTG